CAATGCTAATGATACTGATTATACTTGTGGTCGTACACCATTAGCCTACTCCTGTGTGTCAGGTAGTATTAATTTTGTTAAATACCTTTTTAATAATCATAACAGTGATCCTAATGTTACTGATAAAAATAGTATGACATTTCTTCATCATTCTTGTTGTAATGGTCATATTGATATCACTCAATATCTCATTGAGGTACAGCATTGTGATATTAATAAAGCAGATAATGAAGGACGCACATTAGTACATCATGCTGCATGGAGTGGTAACTTTGATTTAGTTCAGTATCTTATTACTGAACAAGGTTTGTCTCCTAATGCAGTTGATAAGAATGGCCTCACTGCTTTACATTATGCCTCAGTGTCTCTTAACTTATCTCTTGTTAAAGAATTAATAACTACCCATCAGTTAGATCCTCATCAAGCTGACAGTAATGGTAAGCTACCAATTCATTATGTTGCTCAATCTGGTGATATTTTACTACTGGAATTATATGTGAAGGATTACAAGTGTAGTCTGATCCTAACAGATAACAAAGGTCGGAATTTTATTCATTTTTCATCATTAGAAGGTCACACTCACTTTATCAAACATATCACTAGTCAAAATCTTCAATACATTAGTTTACTACACTCTACTGACAATGATGGTAAGATACCATTGCATTTTGCCTGTCAGAGTGGTAATATTCAATTGGTCACATTTCTAATAAATGATATGAAATGTGATGTCAATGCTAAGGATACACGTGATCAAACGTGTGTCACATTTACATGTTTCTCAGGTAATCTTGATCTAGTACAATTACTAATACAACAGTATAAGCTTGAGCCTTTAGCGACTGATAAATATGGTGTAACAGCATTACATGGAGCAGCACAAAATGGTCATACTCATATACTGAAATGGTACAGTCAGGAGTATAGTGTGGATATTACTAATCACACTAACAATAACAAGTACACACTAGCTCATGCAGCTGCTTATAAAGGTAGGCTACATTGTCTACAGGAACTGATCAACAAGTATCAGTGTGACGTTAATGCTACTACTACTGATACTGGTAGTACAGTTCTTCTTGTAGCATGTAAAGGAGGTCATGTTCCTGTTGTACTTTATCTCACTAGTCTTCCTCAGTGTAATGTAGCAGCTAAGACTTCTAATGGATCAACAGTTCTTCACATTACCTGTCAGTACAGTGACTCTCTTCCTATACTCAAACATCTGGTAGAGAATCATCAATTAGATCTATGTGCTGTGAATGATGAGGGAATGGCTCCTATCCACTTAGCATGTAAAAAAGGAAGATTGAACTTGATCCAGTACATTATAGAACACATACCATCATCACTTGAACTACCTCAGAGTAAACATGGTCGTACTCCATTCCTTATTGCAGTGTACTTCAATCAGTTAGAAGTTATTAAATATCTTATTAGTAAGAAGTGTAATCTATCAGCTACTGATGATAAAGGGTCTGGAGCAGTTCACACATCAGTAGCAAGGGGCCACTTAAATGTATTGAAATATCTCATTGATAATAATTATTGTAATCCTAATGCAACCAATCATCAAGACCATGTACCAATTCATATTGCTGTAGCAGCTGAACAGTTTGAAATATTGGAATTTTTATTAAGAACTAGATTAAGCATACTTATTAATGTACAAGATGAAGATGGTAACACACCATTACACCTTGCTTGTATGTGGAGACAAACAAAGACAGTATCACGTTTATCAAGTGCTTATCTTTCTACTAATATCAATATATTAATTACTAACAAGAAAGGACAGACACCATTACACTTAGCAGTTGCCTCTGGTCATAAGGATACCACTGAAGCTTTACTCTCCTCTGTCACTGGTAGTTCTACTCATCATGATCTGCTTACAGCTACTGATAATGAAGGATCCACTGTATTTCATACAGCTTGCAGTAATGGCCATATTGATGTGTTTCGTTATTTATCCAGTATTTATCCTCAAGGTGTTAATGCATTGGATAACAGAGGACGTGGTTTACTTCATGCAGCATGTGAGGGAGGAGATATTGAAATAGTAAAGGAACTTGTTGAGAAGTATAAACTAAATCCTAAATCACAAGATAAAAAGGGCATCACATGCTTACACTTATTAGCAAAAAGAAAGAGAGCTAAGAAATCATCCTTAATATTTGGGGATGTTGCTGTAAGAAGAAACATATACCAGTACTTGAAACACAACATTGACACTAATGAATTACCTATAAACAATTAGTCTAGTCATACTCCTCTGTATTATGCTTCTCATTCTGATAATATTCATATATAATGTGTTATCTCATAGAGACCTTCCCCTGTACTCCTGATGATCCTGATAATAATGGATACACTTCAGTTAATCGAGCATGTGAAGCTGGTAGTATGGAGTTAGTACAATACTTTTTAACTGATCTCAATTGTAATCTAATAGCTAATACTAATGATTTTAAAACCATAATTTTTACTAGTAAAAGTTCTAATTTAGAGATTGTTTAGTTTTTAGTTAACAAAACCTTGTCCACACAATATTGAAATAACTCAATTAGTTAAATTAGTAGTTATACAATATACATGATCTTACTATTACACTTGTCATCACCATCTTACCACATTACATACCATTGTATTAACTACCATCACCATACACCAATGAGTACCAATATCATCTATACAATACTTCTGTAATATGATCACCATTAATCTTAACACCTAATAAAATTGACATTTTAACTTCATCTTATTGTCATCTTACTATCACCATGTATATCCAATCCATCTTATTATTTTACACCATTGTACCATCGTATCACCATTGTACTACTGTATTACCCCTGTAATCACAAAGCAACCCACATAGCTAGCATAATCCATTACAGATAATTCAAAGAACTGTCAATTTAATGTTGCGTTAAATCTATGTCCACTGGCAACTATAACACAGGAGTCAATGCAATATGCAATGTGTTGCATGAAATAGAAATGGCCCAGTTCCATTAACTCCTGCATGAGTTGTGTGTTGATGCAAAAAATGTGTCACAGTGACAATGTATGTTGTGTCTGTGGTGTGAGAACTAATAAATCAGCATGACACACATGGGTGAGGCTTATGACCTTGCATACCAGAACAGTATCATTTAACATTAGCTTGTATTCTTGTAATTAGCTTTGTGTGTTCTGCAGGGGCAGATCTAGGATTGAATTTCTGGGGGACCTTTATGATATGGGTGGGTAATTATTTGGGAAGTCAAAATTTTGAAGATTAGGCCTCTTAAATGAGCTTCTTTGTGGTTTACAGACTGTTTACACAGTCAAGTACTGCAGCTGTTTCACAGTTAATTTTATGCTTCACCAGAAAAATTTTTTGGGGGGCCTGGCCCCCTAGGCCCCATCATAGATCTGCCCATGGTGTTCCGGCTGTAATAATTTTTACTACATCATCATGAACCTGTGACCCTGTCCTATAGGGCCTTGGCCAAATTTTTCCAAAATTGAAAAGGAGAGAATTCACTATTTTTATAATTCTTTGATACATTACAAATGTTCTAATGTTGTGCATAAAGTTTGAGTTAATTTCAATCAAAGTTAGATTTTTTTATAAAATTTTTAAAAGTTACTCATAAATTTAGCCAAAGTCCCTGTACATGATCACGAGCCAAATTTTGCCAAAATTATAAAGGAGAGAAATTGCCACTTTTATATTTTTTCTGGTACATATACTGATATACATGTTTTTGTGTTGTGTAAAAAGTTTGAATTGATTCCAACCAAAGTTGAATTTTATGAATTTCTAAAGTTTCTCCAATAGCAATGTACATCTACAAAGTACATGCATCATTGAATTGCTCATGAAGCTACACTTAGCATGCTCTGTGGAGAATCCTGACATATTGTGATACTCATCACTGTTCCTGTAACATACTTTAAGTGTTTTAACTTAGTAACTGCAAAATAATGCATGACATGAAGATTTATGATATTAACAACATTTTCTAGGTATGTTATAGTAAAATACACCTTGGTTGCCATTAGGTTCATTTCTTCAACATTATAGAATATTTCTTAAAATAAAGTAATTATTTTAATGCAAAATTGCTAGTACAAATAAGTTTATGTATATATTAGATCCAAGCAAAAAAGAAATTACATCAGTGTAGGCAGATTCACTTTTTAGAGCAAAATCACCACTTTTACCAGCCATGCATGTAAAGCATTATTAAAATTTTTAATCCTCAGCAAGGGCTACTTTATTTAGATTTTGTATTTATCTTTTTTGAGATGAGAAGTTGATATTATTTATAAAATTTGAGCAATTTCACCATCTCACTATTGATGATATTTAGTAATGTATGTTTAACAAGATCACTGTCTTATAGCATCTCCCAGGGTCAGAGTACTTGGATGCAGCATAAGACAATAAAAATTAAAACAATCTCATATTAAAAGATCAAAAGTGTAATAACTTAGGGGCTGTCACAGAAATTATAAACCAAGGTCAGACAATAAAACAATAAAGCATAACAAAAATTACTATAATAGCTATAGTATCTACAGATTACATTTATTTTATTGTAAAATTAATTAATGAAAAACACTCAATAAACCCATCTCATTCACTTCAAGCAATTGAAGTAGCCAGCACCTTCATTACTACTGCACCATTGGGGCCTTCATTAAAGCAATCAAAGTAACCATCATTGGAATCCTCCTGTAAGCAATCAACGTAACCATCCTTATCATTAGAATCTTCATGTAAGCAATCAACATAACCATCTTTATCATTAGAATCTTCATGTAAGCAATCAATGTAACCATCCTTATCATTGGAATCTTCATTGAAGCAATCAATGTAACCATCATTGGAATCTTCCTGTAAGCAATCAACGTAACCGTCCTTATCATTAGAATCTTCATGTAAGCAATCAACGTAACCATCTTTATTATTGGAATCTTCATGTAAGCAATCAACATCAACGTAGCCACTAGTCTCTTCAATTCTACCTTTATGAAAATTCCTCTCTTGATTGTTGCCATCATGACTAGATCTACTATACACAGCTCCCCTCAAAGTTCTAGTTTTTTTAATTTTTACATATTTTTTGGGAGATATCATCATGGTATTAAACTGATAAACGAGGTCTTCAAAAGATGGTCGTTTCTCAGGTTCTAGTTCCCAACCTAAAAATTTGTTTAATTGAAGTATTGTGTAATTTTCAATAGCCTTATCACAGATGTGTCTCATGCTACATAAACTGACAACTTTTCTGCACTAGCTGTTACATAATAAAAATAATATAGCAATTTTAATATCTTCATACTATGTTGCTACATTTATGCAAAATGGCTATCTGTACAAAGGTCAGATGCTACTATTCTGTGTATGTTACACTTACAGTTCTGCAATGTTTTGTAAAATTCTAGTGTACACGTTTTAGGCTGTTTCAATCTGTCACCTTTCTCCAGCAGTTTAAGCAGCTCAAATACACTTTTACCCTAAGCATGTGATGTACTGTGATAAGATTAAATTCACTGCATGATTATACTTTGAAAGGAGATTCTCCAAATGTTAGTATCTCCCATACTGTTACACCAAAGCTCCAAACATCAGTTTTGTGAGTGAATATTCTTTGCTGTATGCTTTCAGGTGGTAGCCAGCGAACAGGCAGCTACATGTTTATACCTCACAGTTAGTAGTTAATGTGATACTGACTTTGGATCCAGATGCTTCATAATGAGACTCATCAGGTTTAATGAATCGTGTTAGTCCAAAATCAGTAATGAGAACTTTAAGATGGCTCTGAACAAGGATATTACGAGCAGCTAAATCTCTATGTACAAGACTTTTAGATTCAAGGTAAGCCATACCCTATACATGTATGTATAAATTATATATTTTAAGTGCTTGTATCATAAACCTTTGCTATCTGTAATGAGAAGTTGATAACAGTCTGAGCTGAGATTTTGTTTTTGTGATTTTTCAAATAGGCTATCAGAGATCCAAGAGGCACCAGCTGTGACACTAACATTATTTGTCTACTTATGCACAAACCA